GCATGCGCAAAGGTCCCAAGCACAGGAGCCTGGCAGCAGGGGAGGAAGTGGGAGGTACTTCAGGGAGGCGAAGCCATGTGAAGACAAGGTCAAGCCCACGTGCCTAGACATAGTGTGTGTCTTAGGGTTTCTATTGCTGTGATAAAAACACCATCACGAAAAAGCAAGTTGGGGAGGAAAGGGTTTATTTGACTTACACTTCCACGTTGCTGTTCATCGCAGGACAACAAACGCGAACAGGGCAGGATCCTGGAGGCAGGAGCTGATGCAGAGGCCATGGAGGGTGCTACTGTTTACTGTCATGTTCCCAATGGCTTGCTTAATATGCTTTCTTATAGGACCCAGGACCATCAGCCCAAGGGTGACACCACCCACAGTAGACTGGGCCCTCCCCAACTGATCACTAATTGAGAAAATACCTTATAGCTGGATCTCATGGAGGCATTTCCTCAGCTGAGGCTCCTTCCTTTCTGGTGACTCTAGTTTGTGTTAAGATGACTAACAAAATCAGCCAGTACAGTGTCTGACTCCCCATCCTCAGCCTCACCACCCCCACTTCTCCCTACCACAGCCACTGGAGCCCAGAGCCAGGCCCTAGTCCCACCTGCTCCCCAAAGCCCAGAGCATCTTTCAGAGTCCTCTGATCCTCAGAGTGAAGACAGACGTGGACATGAGTGTAGGGGACACATGCCCTCCCCTAGGAACTCCGTACCCAACTCGTTACAAAGGAATATTATTGCTCTGGGTTAACTCTGGGAATATAAATTGCACATATATTAAGCACTAACTGTATACACAGGCAACAAAGAACATCAAGCTATGCCGCCTTGATGCCCTCAGGGCTGTAACTCCTTGTGAGCTATCCCAGTGGCCTGTGGCAGGTAGAGGCTGCTGCTGATTTGATTCTAAGATGGGGGTGGCAGGTGAAGACAGCTCCATTTGTCCCCAAAGGCCACCCCAATGTTCCATGGGCCCTTCATGCTCTGCCTCTTGACTGAAAGGACTTAGCATTCAGCCCCTGTGCTCTAAGGATGACTTCCTGGTCCCTTCTGCCATCGTGCCCTTTGGGGCAGCAGGCACTGGGCCCCTGGAAAACAGCAGGGATGCCACACAGGCCTGGATCAGATTCTGGGCCATCCTATAGGTTACCAAACACTGTTGGCAGTTCCAAGACACCAGAGGTCTATGGAGAGCAGCCCAGATAACAGGGGGGAGACGGGTGTCCTGGTCCCTCTCCCACATACATACCCTGCTAGGTAACCACCCCATGGGAATAAAGGACCCCAGCAAGACACATCCCAGGGGCTCAGAGAGTCAGACACCTCTGGGTTCCAGTCTCCAACATGAGGCTGACCTGCTGTGTGACTTCCCAGGCACTGCAGAGCCTCTCTGAGCCTCACTGATCACCCTATCTGTAAACTTGAGTTGCACTTGGCACCTCCTGGCAGCCCCCCCAGTCAACCTTGCTGTGTGCCAGTCTGACTCCCCTGGGGTCAAGAGACTGAACTGCAATGGGTCCCTGGATGGTTTAAGGGGGGTTTGGAGAGATGGCTCAGTGGTTAAGAGCACTAGCTGCTCTTCCAAAGGACCCAGGTTCAATTCCCAGCACCCACATGGCAGCTTACAACTGTCTGTAACTCCAGTTTCTGGGGAATCTGACTCCCACACACAGACACACATGTAAAACACCAATGAACATAAAAAGAAGGGGTGATGGAGTGGGGGTGGCTAACCCAAGGAAGGGCCAGGACCAGATAGGTCTGCCCAGGCTCCTCCAAGCCTTGTGCCCTTAATATGGGAGAGGTCCTGGAGCTCCAAGCTGCTGTGGTGCCCAAGACTCAAGGAACAAAGTCACACTGCCTAGAGTTTCTATTGCTGTGATAAACACCATGACCAAAGCAAATGGAGGAGGAAAGGGTTCATTTGGCTTGTACTTCCATATTGTAGCTCATCCTTGAAGGAAGTCAGGACAGGAACACAGAGACAGGAACTGATGCAGAGGCCGTGAAGGAATGCTGCTTACTGGCTTGTTCCCCAAAGCTTGCTCAGCCTGCCAGGACCACCTGCTCGGGGATGGTACCACCCACAATGGGTTAGGCTCCACCTCATCAATCACTAATTAAGAAAATACCCTACAGGCTTACTTACAGTCCAATCTTAGGGAGGTATTTTCTTCCCTGGGGGGGGCGGTGCTGGAGACATGGTTTCTGTATAGCCCTGGCTGTCCTGGAACTAGCTCAGTAGACCAGGCTGGCCTCAAATTCAGAGATCTGCCTGCCTCTGCTTCCCAAGTGCTGGGATTAAAGGTGTGCATCACCACGCACGGCATGGAGGCATTTTCTTAATTGACATTCTCTTCCCTTAGATGACTTTAGCTTGGGTCAAGCTTGGGCCATAAAACTATCTAGCACAACTGACCAACTTGACACACACATTGCTGTAAAGCCCACAACCTTTTCTGTCTTGTTCATCCCCAAGATCATACATTGATATAAACATCACAATAAAGAACATTTTACAGATGAAAAAAGTCCCTCAGTCTTACAAATTCAAACACTCCAAAAATTCAGTCTCTTTTATAAAAACCCAGTTTCTTTTAAGAACCCAAAGTCTCTTTTTAAAATAAAAAGTCTCTCAACTGTGGGCTCCTACAAAATAAAAGATAAATTAAACACTTTCTGATTTCAAAAGGGAAGAACCAGGGAACAGTCACAATCACATCAAAGTAAAACCAAACCTCAACAGTATAAATAACCCAATGCTCAATATCTGGGATGCACTCAGGATCTTCTGGGCACCTCCAGAAGGCTTGGGTCATTTCTCCGGCTCCACCCCCTCAGCACACACGGTTCATCTTCCAGGCTCAGGCCAGCTCCACTCCACAAGCCACTGCTCTTCTTGGTGGTCATCCCATGTGACGGGCATCTCTGAAATTCTGGGTCATCTGCTGCAACTTGGCTGCACTTTCACCAATAGCCTCTCACAGGCTCTCCTTATGGTGCCAAGTCTCAACTCTCTCCATGACCCTTGCAGTCCTGGGGTTTCCACTGCTACTCCAGCTACACCCTCACCAATGGCCTCTCCTGGCCTCTCACAGTGCCAAGCCTCCGCTGCTCTCTGTGTCCCTTTTCACGTCTTCAAAACCAATAGCACCTGGATGACCCTTACATATGACCAAGGTTAGCTGCCAGCCTGAGGTGCAACCTTGGATGCCTCTGGAACCCAGCTTCTGTGTGCTCTCAGGAAACACTTCTGAGAAGATGTCACCTCAGTGGTGCTGGCCTCTTCTTAATTGTAGCTGATTCTTCAGCCCCAGCTGGCCAGCATCCATTATCCCAGTAAAGCAAAGGTTTTACTTCAGTGGTTCTGTTATCTTGTTAATCACTGCTGATTTTCAGCTGCAGCTAAACAGAACCACAGGTTCTTAACTCAAAATAGCAAATGACTCTGAGAGAGTCATTAAAGGACTCTGGAACTTTACAAGCCAAGCCTCCTCAACACTCTTATCTTCCAAGCTCCCACAGAGATCTCAACACTGAGTCGCTCTTCTAGCTCAATATTCCAAAGTTCTTCTGTAATCCTCCCCAACACACATGGTCAGGTTAGTCACAGAAATAACCCCATTCCTATTTAGAGTTATCATTATTGTGAGGAAACACCATAACCAAAGCAGCTTGGGAAGGAAAGGGCTTTTTGGCTTACACCCCCACATCCTCAATCCATCACTGAAAGAAGGCAGGAACTCAAATGGGGCAGGAACCTGGAGGCAGGAGCTGACGCAGAGGCTGTGGAGGGTGCTGCTTACTGACTTGCTCTCCATGGATCTTTCAGACTTCTTTCCTATAGAACCCAGGACCACCAGCCCAGGGATGGTACCACCCACAATAGGCTGGGCAGTCCCCCACTAACTAATTAAGAAAATGCCTTACAGACTTGCCTACAGTCCAATCTTATGGTGGCATTTTCTTAGTTAAAGTTCCCTTCTCTCAGATGACTTTAGCTTGTGCTAAGTTGACATAAAACTAGGTAACACACTGCCACACTCAACCACATTGCTATTGAACCAGCCCTGCCCATCTGTGGCCTGACTCCCTCAAGTCTCTCTCATACCACTGATCTTTCTCAAGCCCGTGGAGCACACCTCAGCTTTGAGAAGACATCCCCTTGCAGCTACTCAGGGACCCTATCATCAACCCTAGGCATCTTCTGCCCCACACCCACATGTCACCTGTGTCCAGGGCACAGATGCCAGGCCATGGGGGCATAATTACTATAGTGTCCCACTCTGTTCTCATGTCCATCTGCACAGACAAGGAGCAACAAATACGTCCAGAGAGGGTGATGGATAGCTTCAATTGTCAACTGGACACAGTCTAGAGACACCTGGGAAGAGTCTCAGTGAGGGACCATCTAGACCAGGTTAGTCTGTAGGCACAGTCTGTGAGGGATTGTCTTGATTCCCTCAATTGAGATGGAAAGACCCAGCCTGAAAGTGGGCAGTGCCATTCCCTGGCGTTGGGACCTGAACTATATAAAAGTAGAAAAGTTAACTGAGCCAGGCAGTGGTGGCTCACACCTTTAATCCCAGGCCTCGGGAGGCAGAGGCAGATAGATTTCTGTGAGTTTGAGACCAGCCTGACCTACAGAGTGAGTTCCAGGACAGCCAGGCCTACCCAGAGAAACCCTGTCCCAGAAAAAGAGAAAGAAAGAAAAGAAAACAGCTCTAAGTGTGCACACGCTTATATCTGCCTGTTTTTGTTTGACTGTGGATGTCATGTGATCAGCGGCTCCAAGCCCTGCCTGCTGTGACTTCACTGCAGCGACAGACTGTAACCTGCACCTGGGAGCTAAAGCAAACTCCTCCCTTTTGTTGTTGCCTTGTCTGCACTTTATCACAGCAACTAAGAAGAAGTGGACAGAGAATGAGTGCCTTGCCAAAGCCTGGAACATGCTGGGACACGGTGTCCTGGCCCGGGCACAGTGGCACACATAGGCAAATGTGGGAGGGTATGTCTTTATTGAGAATACAAGGATGCAGAGTGGGAAGCACAGCCCCCAAACATCCCATCTGGGGTCACAGCACCAGTCTCTTCCTGAGAAGGGCCAGGGCCCTGGTGTCAGCCATGGGCAGCTCAGGTCTGCCCGCCTTTGCTCTTTGAGGACCAGATCTTGGAAAAGCTGAACTTGGACTTCTTCTTCTGGAGGCCTGAAGGGAGGACAGAGCCATGAAGCTCCCATACAACGCCTGTGTTTCCTTCCTGCCACTTCCATAGGAAGCCCTGTCCTGGGAAGGACATCCTCCCTGTCCCCTGCTGTACTCATAATTACCCAGGTTCTGGATCATGTTCTCCAGCATTTGGTCCTCTTCTTGTTCCCTGGAATGGGGACAGGCTGAGTGTGAGGGGCGTGGGACCTGGAGGGCTACAGAGAACATGTATGCTCTCTCTCTACTAACACAAGAGGCAGCCCCACATGGCCCTGGCTAGCCCCACACCCCACAGCACCATGAGAGACTCCATTCATCCCTCCATCTCCAGGCAGGTGCCTGCCCTCCCCAGCTTAGCCACTCATCAGTGACATGGGGATAACAGATGACCTATTCTGACAGTGGCTAAGCCCCTGTTGGGGTCACACAGAGTTTGGCTTGAGTTCAGCCTTGGGCCAACCCTGTGTGCCCTGAACATTGGGCCTTGTTTGACACAAGAGAGCTGAGCAGGCTGAACACAGCATGTTTACATTCGTTTCCCTCTGCTCTTGACTGGGTATGACGTCACTAGCTGTCTCAAGTTCCGGCATCCAGACATGGAGAAGCTTTGCAGTCACCAGTAAACACACAGTTACACATATCTGGTTAAAATTAAGTGCTAAGCCAGGCTTGATGGTGTAGGCCTATCATCTCAGCTACTTCTAGGATAACATCCCAGCTGAATCTAAGACAAGAGGATTGAGTTCGAAGTCTACCTGCGCCAAAGAGTAAGTTCAAGGTCAGCCTGGGCAACTTAGTAAGATCATGTCTCAAAATAAAGTAACAATAGTGCTGGGGTTATAACACAACCCTAGAGTCCCCAGTGAGGAGCTGGGGTGTGGCTCAGTGGTAGAGCACCTGCCTAGAATGTCCCAGTGAGGGACTGAGGTGTGGATCAGTGGTAGAACATTTGCCTAGAATCCCCCAGTGAGAGGCTGGGGTGTGGCTCAGTGGTGAGTACCTGCCTAGAATCCCAGTGAGGGGCTGGGGGTGCAGTGTCAGAGTACTTCCTAGCATTCATGAGGCTAAATTTAATCCTCAGCAACACACATACCAGATAAAGATAAAGTAGTTTTAGGGGCTGGCTCAGCAATGAAAGGTACTTACTACTCTTGCAGAGGACCCAGGTTCAGTCCCCAGAACCCACATAGCAGCTCACAACCACCTATAACTTTAATTCTAGGAGATCAGATGTCCTCTTCTGGCCTTGTACACATGTGGTACACATAAATTCTTGTAGAAACACAGACATGTTTAAAAAATAGTAAATAAACAAATCATACTTCAAAGCTATTTTAGACTCGACTGTTCAGTTTCACAGGTCAAAAATCATGGTCTATTAGCCACTCATGGCTGCCACACTGGACAGCATGGATGACAGTCTATTTCCTTCATTAGCTGTACCGGGCAGTGCTGTCCTTAAAGGCTAGGGACCTGAGTGAGAAAAGGCACCACGGGAGGACGTTTCCCCAAACCTGAGTCCTCCTGTGAAATGCACGCTGGGTCCCACTGAGTCAGAGTAGCCTGACAGCCAGGAGCATCTCTGACCCCAGACCGCCCTCCCCAGGTCCCTCGTCCCTTACCGGAGCCGATCCTCATCCAGGAAGTCAACGATGTCACTGCGGTCATTCACAGTGTTCACATATTGACTCAGCAGCTCCTGTTCCCGCTGGCGGTCCCGGGGGGACTTCAGACCCTCTGTGGGGACAGCCTGCTATCAGTAGGAGACCCCATTCTGCTCAGGGACAGGATAGTCACACTGCCTTGTGAGTTGGAGGAGCTTACAGAATGGTTGGATCAAGGAATGGGCCCGCAGAGCCTGAGTGTGTGGCCTCTGGTCTCTATGTCTTTATTATGCAAGGCTGAGGCAGGGGTCCTACAGCCAGGATGTGTTGTGAAGGCTGTCCTCATTGCTCACAGTGCCCCTCTCATGTCATCCCCTTGACCTCATATTAGCTGTTGGGGGCAGGGCAGGGAGCACACTGTGCCATCCTTACTTTGAAGAGCATCAAACTTAGGCACAGAAGAGCTAAGGCATTTGTCCAAGGTCACACAGCCAGAAACATAGGAACAAAAGCCAGAAGCCAGATGGCTTAGCCACAACTGTATCACCATCAGACTCTCCTAGGTCAAGGCAGGGTAAATGGAGAAGTGGGCACATGGGTCTGTGGAGCTCAGGCCATGCTTCCTGGGGGCAGACTCATACCCGGCTTGTCCATCAGCCTCCGCAGCTCATCCTGGAGGTCCAGTTGCCGCTCCTCCAGGCGCTGGTCCTTGGACCTGCAGGACATGCATGTCTGAGGCTCAGCCTGACCAGGCTGTTCCTACCACATCCAAGGGCTGGTCCCAGCAGGGCACTGCAAGGCTCAGGTGTCTCACTTGTACATGAGTTCCGATTCGAGCCTGAGCAGCAATTGCTTCTCACGAATAAGCAGGAACCAGTCCACCATAAGACTATCCTCCGTAGCATCTGTGAAGAAACACAGCTGAAGCAGAGAAGCCACAGAGTGCCTGGCACCCACCCTGGTGCAGAAGGGCAGACCTGGGACAGGGTGAAATCTAGTCAGAGGTACTCAGGAGGGCCTGCAGCCAGATTGGGCATGGCCAATCTGTAACTAGTGTGGGATGGAGTTGGTCAACACCAGTAAGGGGCATGGTCAACCTGCAACCGGTAAGGGATGGACATTCAGTATGGCATAGGTATGAGCAGTCTATGGGAACATGACCTGCCAATAGGGTTATGGCCAGCTCACGGGCATGGCCAGCTGTAGCAGGTGGTCAGCCCATGGAGATGTGGCCAGCCACTGGGAGTGTGGACAGCCAGTAGACATGTGGACAATCACTTAGGGGCATAGAAATCTGATAGTGTGTGGCCACCAGTCACCAGTGGGTACATGGTCAGCTGTGGAGCATGGTCACTGGTAGGGGTATGTCCCAAACTGCTTACCTCCCTCAGCTGCCCGCAGCTGCTTCTCCAGCTCTATACCCCTGAGCTCCAGGGCATCTAGCTGACTCTCAATGTCCTGCAGCTGCCTCTGCAGCTCCTCCTGAGGGATGTAGTTGGGGTGCAGCTGGGGGACCAATGGAGAGTGAGCACAAGCACAGGACCAAAGTCCAGCCATCCCTCATGCCCAGCTGACTCACCCTGATTGGAGAGGTCATGCTCTCACCATGTGAAGCAAGGCCACTGTCCAGGACTGCAGGCCTCTCTAGAAAATAGACGGATGACTGAGACCCTCAATCTCAGGGCACCAAGCCTAACAGAACCTGGGTGTGGCCTGGACATGACCCAACCCATCTATTCTAGGCCATCAGCCCCAGCAGGCATTGCTCCCTTTACCACCTTCTAAACAGAATAGCATCTCTGGGACTGACCTCTTGTCCCCCAGGTGGATGTCTTCTCCTCCTCCTTCTGGTTCTTGGCCTGAGGTTCCTGCTTCTTGAGCTCTGGCTGGAGCCAGTCAGCAGAAACATCAAGGCTGGGAGGCACAGCAAGTTTCTTACGTTGTGACAGAGAAGGAGAGGGAGCTGTGGCACAAAGGTGTGGGGCACAGGCATGTGTGAGGCCTTCTGGCCAGGGCCCTGACACTGACACACACATGGGCACACAGACTACACCTGAACATGCCTAGAACACATACATACCATGCATGAACATGCATGCACACACTTATCCCACTCTTGAACGCATGTTCACATATCTCTCATACCTAAGCATGCATGTACATATTGATATACCATATACAAATATATGTGCATACATTAAATACTATGTCTGGACAGGCATGCACACACATCCCCCATGTAAATGTGTCATACATGACCATATGCATGCACACATATATCTTGTGTCTGAATACATGACACGAGTCAGGACTCTAAGCCTCTACTCTGTCCCAGGACAGCCAGTGTTGCAGTACCATGCACTCCAAGGTAGGACCCTGTTCCTACTGAGATTGGCCACATAAACCCAGAGAGGTAGTGTCCAACGACTCCACAAAACCAGTGCTACTGACACAGAGTATGACCTGGGAAGTGGCCCACAAAGGGCACAGCTATGCTAAAAGCAAATTTGGTCCAACACATACACATTCACAGGTACATTTAAACACACATGTGCATACATGCCTATCACATACACACACATATATTCAGACTATACCTGAACATGCCTTACACACACACATCCCATGCATGAACACACATGTACACACATATGTATAGGCCATGCCTGCATATGTACATTCCATGCCTGAACACACATGGACATACAGACTATACCTGAACATGCCTAGTACACATATATACCATGCATGAACACACATGTACACATTTATCTCATTCTTGAACACATGCTCACATATCTCTTATACATCTCTTATATATATTAAGCATGCATGTACATGTTGATACACTGCATCCAAATATATGTGTATATATAAATCCTATGGCTGGATAGGCATGTACACACATCTCCCATATATACGTCTTATATATGACCACATGTATGCACACACATATACTGTGCCTGAATACATGAGTGCATATTAAATCCACCCAGAAACACACACGCACACACATCCATTCCATATGTAAGCACCCTCTCTGGCTGAGCAGGGCCTCTGCCTGACCCCAGTCGGAGCACATACTCCACACAAAGACCCACCTGAGTACCCATAAGCATTACCTGGGAGGCTGGGCCCAGAACCAGCCGGGTGTGGTGTCCTCTTATGTTGCACGGGAGTCAAGATGACATGAATGCTGGGGTCGGAGCTGCTGGAGGCTTTCCTGGGAGTGTCCCCTGTCTTTGGCTCTGCCAGGACTTCTTTTTGCCCCAGAGTCCTAGGTGGAAGAGAAGGTGAGTCCCAACATAGACAGGGACAGCCAGGAGTCTGTCTCAAAGCCATATGCCTATGTCCAAGGTCTGCATGGTCTGAAGGAAGCTACCTGGCCAGGCCTGCATCATCCTGGCCTCTAATTCCAGTATCTGCCTGCTTCCACCCCTAGAGTACAGGGCTGTGTGCCTTCCCATGCTCTGTGTGGGGCAGAGGTGCCTCAGGCTTGCCAGGACTAGAGGCACTGACACCCACTCCAAGCCAGCCTCATGTAAGCTGCCTGGCATGGCACACCTGCTGCTCTGCATTTACCACATCCCTTAAGTCGTCCCTCTGAGATGAGGTGTCCCTGTCACTCTGTCCCCATCACCTGGCAGGTAGAGTCCCAGGACACTCAAGCTGGTGTGAACCAACTTTGTCTATGGATACTGAAAGGCCCAAGTGTATGTATGCCTTCTGGCCAGAGCTGTACCAATTCCTGGATGTATACTGCCATGCTCCCACACATACTTAACTAGGCACCTGCTGTGTGCTGGCTCAGCCCATACTGCAGACCCACAGGCATGGGTGTGGTCCTGCCAGTGAGCTGCCACCCCTGCTCACCTCCCAGCAGCATTTTTCTTATCCACCGGCTTCAGGCGGGCCCTCCATCCTTCTGGCCCTTCCTCCTGGCCTTCCTGAGAGGTGGAACCTGGACCTACAGATGAAGTAGGTGAGACAGGTTAGGATGTCTCTTCATAGCCAACTACACCTCTCAACACCCCCAGAGCCAACCCAGCACACAGAACAAAGGTGAGGCTTCCAGCTTGGCTGCTGCTTTGTGTACCCTTGAGGGAATCACTGTTGCTTTCTAGGCCTCAATTTCTAATCTGTCAAATGGGTGTTGACACGGAAGGGAATCCCTGTGGACTGACTCTGTGATGGGTGACATGATGAGCAATGGCTGGGCATGGCTACCTACCCATAGTCACTCTTGCTTCACACATAGCAGTGGACTCAACAGAACTGGGATGTCTGGGAAAAGTTGCTAGGGACAGCAGGACCCAAGTCCTAGGCAGAGCCATTTTGAAGGTGGACAGGGCCTCCTTCTGCACCCTGGGGGCACAGCTACGGACAGAAGGCCACGTGGCCTGGGCTTACATATGAATCTAGGACAATGGCCATGGTGTGACCCTGAGGATACTGGCCACAGTCACATAGAGGCAGCAGATGAGGACCCATAGAGAACTATTGGTCCTAAGAGCTGGGCCACAGGACAGCAGATACCCAGAACACCCTTCAAAGAGAAAGACAGCAGGATATATAGCAACACTTGAGTGGTCGACCCCAGGGCCCTGCACCTCGCTACCCCTCCCCATCCCACAGCAGGGACTCTCACCCTTCACTACCGCCATCTCTGCCTGTGGCCTGGAGCCAGCACTGGTCTTCCCAGCCCCTGGAGATGTACCCAGGCTCTTGCTGCCAGTCTGGGTATTGTCCACACTCAGGGGGACTGTAGGCTCCATCTTTGAAGCAGGGGCCCGGGGAACAGTTGAATGTGATAGCCTGGCTGAGGGAGCTTTTTGTGGCACTTCATTCTTGGGAAGGGTGATTGTCACAGAGGCAGTGGCTGGGGAGGACCTGTGGGGAAGAGAGTGGGTATTAGCTATGGGCTCAGGAGTCACTCCCTAAGAAGCTGTTTCCAGAGTGACCCCAATGAACAGAGGACAATTTACCCCAGGCCAAATGGTCCATGGCATCTCCTTGTGGCACTTACATGCATTGGTAGCTGTTTCTACGCTATTAAATCTGGTGTCCATTGTGATTAAAATATCCCCTAAATATACCATGCATGGGGTACCAGAGCTAAAGCACCAAAGAGGGTCACAGGCTGGCCTACACTTGCCCAGATAAGTATTAAGTTACTCATAGGCTGGACAATCCAGCCAGGCACCAGCCCCCACCTGGGCTTCATGGCTCTGGTTACCTACATTCCCTTAGGCAACTCACATGCAGGTACTCAGAGCCCAGGCAACTTGTGGCACCACTCCAAGCTCTGCCAAGTCTATTCTGCAGAGTCAAGACAGAGGCATTTATCACAGCCCAGGAGCAGCAGCGTATTCTCCTCCTAACCCTAGGATCAGCCCAGGATCCTCTGGGTACCAAATGAGGGTGAGTTCAGGCAGTTACAATCCAGGAAAACCCCACCCTGAAATCAAGGACCAACCCAGGATGGAACCTCTTGACTCACTCACTAGACAGTTGTACTGGATTGAATGGGTACCCTAAAACTCAGATCTACTGGGGAACCACTGGGGATCTTGAGGTGTGATCTTATTTTTAAAAGGGGGAAGGTGTTGGGTGGTTGTGGTACATGCCTTTAATCCCAGCACTCGGGAGGCAGAGGCAGGCAAATCTCTGAGTTCGAAGCCAGTCTAGTCTACAGAGGGAGTTCTAGGACAACCAGGACTATACAGAGAAAGCTTGTCTCAAAAAAAGGATATGGGCGGCTCAGTAGACGTGACCACATTATAATGCAGACACACTTGAGTACAGTGGCCCTCATTCAAAACCACTAACCATCTAAGAGACAGGTGACATAGATGTGGTGGTGTGCACCTGCGATCCCAGCCCTGGAACAGTGGAGTTGAAGGTCATCTTATAAGCTGGGCAGCTGGGATACATGAGGCCTTGTCTCAAAAACACAAGGACTGGACTGGTGAGACAGCTCAGGAGATGAAAGTGCTTGCCACGAAAGCCTGGCAGCCTGAGTTCAACCCCCAGAACCCATATAAAGGTGGAAGGGGAAAAAACTCCATAAATTGGTCTCTGACCTCCACACAGGCATTGTGACATATGCACCCCTCCCCTCACACACATTTTTTAAAAAAAGACCAGGGGTGTGGCTCAGTGGTAGAGCCCCTGCCTAGAATTCCCCAGTGAGGGGCTGGGGCGTGGCTCAGTGATAGAGCACCTGCCTAGAATCCCCCAGTGAGGGGCTGGGGCGTGGCTCAGTGATAGAGCACCTGCCTCACATGTGGGATACCCTCAATTCCATCTCCAGCACTCAAAAAAAAAAAAGGACAGAGGAAAGTGGGGTCCATCCAACAATGGAATCAGAGATGGAGGGAGGCTGCTACTAACCAAAGGATGCAGAAACATCCAGATGTTGAAGTGAAAGGACCCTTCCCTGGAGCCCTGGTGGAGCATGTGACCTGCCACAGGATATGCTTCTGCCACTGAAGCTGTCCTGCGAGGGGTGACTGTCCCCCTCTGTGTACACCATGTGGTCAGTGTCTAGTGGAAGACACTATAGTTGCCAGGCACAAAGAAACGCTCAGAGCCCAGCTCCACTCACACAGTCATCTAAGGTATGGAGCCAGGCAGTGTGGCTTCCAGCTCAACATTGCTTTCCCTGCCCACAGACAGGCATAGGGATGCTGGAATACCAATCTAACGTGGGTCACCCGCAGCCACCAAAGCCTGTAAGACCACCATGGCCTGCATCCCTGCTTCTATCCTGTCCCCCACCTCCACTTTCCAGATAAGGAAGCTAAGGCCACACAGTCATGGAAGGACAGGACTTCTCCATGTCCTGGTGGGCAGGTCACAGCCACCCCACAAACCTCCTACCTACCTGCTGGGAGCCTGGGTACCAGCTCCCGTCAGCCCCGGCAGGGCCTTCCGAAGAACACTTAGCGCTTGCTCTCGGCTGCTCTCCTGGGCAGGAGTATCCACAGCAGCAGAGACCTTGTTGGCAGGGACAGTCACCACAACAGGGACACTACCAGTGGGGGCATTCATCACAGTGGGGACCTTGCTGGTGGGGGCATTCACCACAGGGGGGACCCTGCCATCAGTGGCTCTCACCATAGTAGACACCCCGCTGATGGGGGCAATTACCACAGTGGAGACCTTGCTGCTGGAGGTATTCACCATAGGGGAGACCCTACCAGTGGGGGCATTCACCACAGTGGTGACCTTGCTGTTGGTGGAGGTATTCACCACGGGGGAGACCTTGCTGCTGGTAGAGGTAGTCACCATAGTGGTGACCTTGCTGCTGGTGGAGGTATTCACCACAGGGGGGACCTTGCTGCTGGTGGAGGTATTCACCACAGGGGAGACCTTGCTGGTGGAGGTATTCACCATAGTGGTGACCTTGCTGCTGGTGGAGGTATTCACCACAGGGGAGACCTTACTGGTGGAGGTATTCACCACAGGGGAGACCTTACTGGTGGAGGTATTCACCACAGAGGGGACCTTGCTGCTGGTGGAGGTATTCACCACAGAGGGGACCTTGCTGCTGGTGGAGGTATTCACCACAGGGGAGACCTTGCTGGTGGAGGTAGTCACCATAGTGGTGACCTTGCTGCTGGTGGAGGTATTCACCACAGGGGGGACCTTGCTGCTGGTGGAGGTATTCACCACAGGGGAGACCTTGCTGGCAGGACTGTTGCTGGCTGGGGTTGGGGCAGGATTCTGGAAAAATTTCTCTCGGGCTTGCTGGGTCCTAGAGGCTACGGGGGTCCAGGCTGGGGTGGCCGCTGTCTTTGGAGATGTTGTGCTCAAGTTGAGCTGAGTCTTGACACCTTTTGAAGCTGCCTGGCTTTGGGGCACAGATGGGTGAGAGTCCAGAGCACTTGGGTACACAACAGGACGGGAGCCAATGGTTGCTGGGCTGCTGCTCTGGGCAGGTGACAGCCATCCTGTCGGGGAGCTATTAGTCACATGGGTAATGGCTTTGCCATTCAAAGAAGTAGTGGCCACTGGGCTTGTGGGCAGCCTGGACCCTGCAGGGCTCCCCACATGGACACGGGAGGTGGCTGGAGGGTTAAGTTCAGTCTGGGCAAAGCCTCTGGCAGTCTTGTTGCCGACAGCGGGCTCCCAGTCTGCTGCCCTGGTCCTTGACGGTGGCACCTCTCCTAGTCCATTTGCCTCCTGAACCTTCCGTGCGGCACTGACGGGCCTGGTGTCTACAGCAACAGCCCCCGGCTGTCTGGAGGCCAGTTTTGACAACTTGGGGCTCAGAGAGGTGGCTTCTGGGCTGTGATGAGTACAGACAAAGACTCCCGGCTCTCCCGTGGCCCGGTAGGCCCCTGAATGCAGAGTGTTGGAACACTGTTTACACCTGTGGGAGGAAGCCACAAGGTTCAGGGCCTGCGCCCTTGCTCATTTGCCTCTCCCACAAGCACACGGCGCCACACTCCTGTATCCAGTCATGCGGTCGCTGATAAGTCAACAAGTGCTCATTAGACATTTCAATCACTGTGATTTGCAGCTTCCACTGGCACACTTGCCAGAGGTGTGGACACCACAGAAAGTGCTCAAACATGTCACCGGATCCGTACATAAAGACTACATAGTGTGCCCCATTTTCAGGAGTCCAACTACCCCAAGCTCGCAGAAGATTACCATGGGATTCACTCCTTGCCCCCCCCCCAAACCTAGAAGCTTCAGGGAGGCAAGAAGGAGGTTACTAGGGGTCACAGAATCAAAAAGCCCAACACAAAGGGCTGAGATGACAGGGGAGACTGAGTCAGTGTGTCTAGAAGGATATCCCCAAGGGGACATTAGAGGAGGACATTAAGGTTCAATCGTACCATCCCCAGTGGAAGACAGATGCAAGAACTGTGGCGGTGTGGGGGTAAGAAAGGTGCACCCAGACATGCAGCGGGAACCGTACCTGAAGCAGCTTCGGTGGTAGAGCCGCCCGTCGGCCAGGTGCCGCTGCACAAGGTGAACGTGTTTACCACAGACCCCACAGATGCTGCTCACGGAGCTGCCTGCAGTTCTTGGAGCCTGCAGGGAAGTGTCAGGGGCTGCTGAGGTGCAGCTGGCATCTCCAGACTCCCACCTGAACCCAAAGGTGGTCAACAGATCCCACTTTCCAGGCTGAAGACCTGAGACCCTGGGGAGCCGAGTCAGGGCACGGGCGTGGCTGCACACTCAGGGCCTCCACACTGGCCCTGGTGGGGAGCAGGAGACTGATTTTAGAGATCCTGGGACACAGTGTGGGGCTAGAGACAAACGTAGTACCTTCTGCTGCCCCTCCAGGCTCTATGATCAAGTCAATATCACTCTCCCCCCCTTCCAGGCCTGCCTTGCTCTGGCTTCATGGAACCTACAGTAACCACTAAGAGACAGCAGGGGGCACTCAAGCTCAGCACTGCAGGGCTGTCCAGGGATGAGCGGTCCAACCCGGCGTCCCTTCCCATCTGGGAAAGAGGACAATCTAAACCAGCCCAGAAAAGACTGCGGTTCCAGCTCCATCCCACCTGGATGACCTCCCATGTCTCAGTTTACCCATCTGTATTATGGGAATCACTACTCTTGCTACATTGAACTGGAGCTTAGCAGTCACCTCAGTAGGTGTGCTGAATACAAAGCATGGAAAGGGGTACTGTACCCTAAGAGAAAACCCCACACGGCTCTGTGTTTTGGGATATGCATAGCCTTGCAATGCCCACTCAACCAAGATGTGCTTACAGCCTTTGGGAATGGCCCCTCTGAGCCACCCTCATTCCTCTGAACCACGGGGTTTGTCCTAGCTGGAGACAGTGGTGACCTCTGGGCTGGAGCAGGGGAGGGCAACTTGGCAGGCTGGTTCAGGACCTTCTTTCCATAATGGTCTTCAGTGGAGTCTGATGAGGGTCTCTTCATACCAGCCATGCCCCCAACTGGCATGAGACACAGGAAATAAGGTCAGGAGGGTCCCACCCAGAGCATGTTGCTGTGCCCACTGTGAAAGGCCTGGACATCTGGTGGGGTGCAGATCTGGGGAAGGACAGCCCCAGGGCACATTCTTTCCAGCAAACCCTGGCCTGGCCCTCACCACGTCTTCCAGCCGACAACCCCATCTAGGGTCACGGAAAGGGACTTTTCTGTTTCCAAACCAGCATTCTGGGCTGGCCCTCAGCCCGGGGGGATTCCGGAGATTTCTAAAGCTATAAGAGGAATGTGGTGCAGGAAGCCAAACAGCTCCTCAGTTATAGGGCTGGGTGAAGTCCTGGTCTGTCCAGCGCCCCCTGCCCAGCCCTGCCTGAGCCACACAGCTTCCATGGCCACAGTCAACCAGGCATCACCCAGGGTCTGCCAAATGATTCCAGCAGCTAAGAGCTTGGGGGTTGAGATGGGCAAACAGGGTGGAAACACTATGACAAGAAGCCTTGCTTAGTGCTCCCCATCATGACGAGGTTGGGGAATAAGGGAGCCCAGGAACCTCACTCCATACTTGTACAAAGGCCTCTGGTCTCCTTGGTAACAGACATAGCTACGAGGATCCATAGGAGTAGTTGGAGAAAGTTACCCTCCTGCATCACTACCCACCCTCGGGCTCAGTGCTGTGACATGAGGACTGAGGGTGAGCACGGAGCCCAAGAAGGGAGACTCCAGCATGGACTGGTGGTCCTGACGGTACTCTCGGTTTTGGCCATGTTCCTGGCACTGGAGGGCCCTCCTGGACAGGGACTCACTTGGGGACCGGCCATGGAAGTAGTTGTAATACTGTGACACGTAGGTGAGGATGCTCAGCCGATCTGGAACCTTCAAGGCCACCATGTCCTCAGCGTCTAGCAGGGCTGGGATGCCCAGATGTTCCTCAGCCACTTGGAAGGCCTGGATAGGGTTTAAATCAGCAGGACAGGCAGCAGAAAGAACTGTTGCTGGGCCACCAGCCCAGATGAAAGAGAAGGTACAAAGAAGCCTGGGCTACAAGTTCAAAGACCCCTTCCCGAGTGACCTCTCAGGCTCAGTGTGTCCACATGCATAAATGTTCAAAGTCCCAACAGATGCTTCTCAGGAGACTAGCCCCAGAGGGCTTGTATGTTGGGAGCAGGTGCTGTGAATTGAACCCAGGGCCCCCAACTTGCTAGGCAGGTGCCCCACCACTGAGCCACACACACCCCAGTCCTCACAGGGGGATTCTAGGCAGATGCTCTACCACTGAGTCACACCCCAACCTCTCTGTAGGGAATTCTAGGCAGGTGCTCTAACACTGAGCCATGCCCCCAGTACTAGTACTGGTCCTGGACTTGTAATCTTCCTGCCTCAGCCTCATGAATAGCTAGGACTAGGTGGTATGGGTTTGTCCCACACAGCCTGGTTCTAAGAGGCTCTTGGGGTATGTGCTCACCCTACCCCGGAAGCTTATCACTCTAGAAACAGCCCTGCTGGGCCAAGTGTCATCCACTTAGAGCAGCTTGTCACGATACGGCTGACACCCTGTAATGGGGACAAGTTGCACCAGGATAGGAAGGCCAGGAGCCTACACATACAGAGCACCACGGAATACCATCTGGGTAGATTGCCAACTCAGTGCCTCTCCCACCGCCTGCTGCCCATCACCAGCACCAAAGCCCCAAGGAGGCTCCGAGCACTGACCCACGTCCTTGCTTGGCCCTCCCAACTTGCTTCTCTCACCAGGTAACCTCTGGACTCCCTCTATATTTCCTGTCCACTTCTGACTCCTGACCTCACCTAGACACCCACCTGTGGTTGTTGATGACTTTTACCCACTCAAGTCCTTCTCAAATTGCCAGCTGTGGCTGCAGGCCTGTCAACTGCTTGGGAGTCTGAGGCAGGATGATCATGAGTTCAAGAGTATGTTGGGCTCCAGAGTGAGTTCAAGGCCAGCCAGGCCTACTTAGGAATACTATCTTAAAATAAAAAGTAGAAAGTAACCGGGTATTGGCGGCGCATGCCTTTAATCCCAGCACTCGAGAGGCAGAGGCAGGTGGATCTCTGTGAGTTCAAGGCCAGCCTGGTCTACAGAGCAAGTGCCAGGACAGCCTCCAAAACTACACAGAAAAACCCTGTCTTGAAAAAAAGGTAGAAAGTAGGCTAAGAATATGGCTCAGCCTGAGAGCTTCTGCCTAGAATCCCCCAGTGAGGGGCTGGGGTGTGGCTCAGTGGAGAGCACCTGCCTAGTATGTATGCAAGTTTAAATCTCAACAGTGCAAAACAAAATACATAAAATCTAAAAACTGTAAAACTCCACCAGCTCCATTTAGCCAGGACAGAGGTCACTGGTGTCCTGGCCCAGCCCCTGGTGACTTCCAGGGCTCTCTTGCAGTTCCCTTCACTGAGGCTCCTCTTCTAGATGCCTGTGTGACCTCCATGAGGATGCCGAGTTGGAGTCCCTATGCTGTTCCCACATGTGCAGCCCCTTCAGGCCTACATAACACACTCATACCAAGTCTCAGATCTTCTCTGACCCACATAACAGGTTCGGGATCTGGCCACTCCCACAAAGATCATGTGTACGCTCTGTGTGACCTCTGCACCAGATACTCCTTTCTCCTGCAGTCTGAAGGAGAGCCTCCAGGTCTACACTTCCCAGAGGCCCAGTCTCACTGGCTTGGAGGGAAAGTTCAGAGTCTTTTCTCCACCATTCCCTGCACCTGCCTCAAGACCCCACCCCACCCTGGCCCCTCAACTATGTGCCCTGCCCAGCACTCTGCAGACCCAGGACCTCCGCCCACACGGTCACTCCACCCAGGATGACTTCCTGAGAGCATCCACAGATCTGCCAACACTACAAGCCAGCTGCCACACTCATCGGGCAGTATTGGAGAAGACTTAGGTCTTCATGTTTGCTCCATGAGCAGTTTACTCAATGAGCGATATCCCTAGCCCCCGGTGCTGGGATTAAAGGCAAGTGCTACCATGCTCAGCCCGGAACTGAGTCTTTAACTGTATTTCATGATAATTAAGTTACAGAGACTGCCCTGTCTGGGCAGGTAAAGCATCTCATGTCTGCTGTCTCAGTCCTCCCCAGAGATGCCAGTGTCAGGAGCCCATGAGGACCATGCTTGCCTCAGAGTAAGAACAGATGTGCGTCAGTTCAAGGGACAGACAATGGGGCACATCTTATAGCAGGGAGACTTAGGCTGGCAAAGGGAAGGGTCTCACAATGGCAGTACAGGGTAGTTAGTTCTGGAATCAAGGGGCCAGGGAAGGTGGTCCTGCCTACCCCCAGGACCCTCCCACAGCTTCCTGGGGCGTTGCTCTGCCCTGGGTGGAACAGTCAGGCCATCCACAGAGAAGGAGGTTGGCTGCTACTCCCTGGGACTCCACTGTCCCAGTAAGGAAGAGAGTAGTCCATGGGGCCTAGGATCCAAGATCAAAGGCTGCTCTCAGAACACAGGCTGCCCAGCTTGGAACTGGCTGAAGAGCTGTGGGGAGGCCAAATCTCCAGAACGGTCCCCTGGGTAGCCTAGTGGAAGGCTCACTGCACTGAGATGCAGTGGCCATTCAGATAAGAGCTGAGAGTTCAAGACAGAGGGCTTAGAGGGCAGGGCAATGGGCATTAGCTAGTCAACTCACCAGCTTGTTGTTCTCGTAAATGTTTTCCTTCCGGAGGGCACTGAAGTTTCTGGAAAGTAAAAACACTTATGTCAAGTCAGGTGTGATGGTGCACGCCTTCCATCTCAGCACTTAGAAGGCAGAGGCAGGTGGATCTCTGTGAGTTCAAGGCTGGCCTGACTATACAGAGAGTACCGACAGGCAGGTCTATATAGGGAGACTTGGTCTCAACAAAATAAAGCATTTATATCCAAAGCCACTCAACTCTAAGAAGGAAGCAGGGCCCCGGGGGCCATCTTGCCCAAATGGGGAAACTGAGGCTAGGAGAAGAAGGGCTGCGAATTAAACAGGTCTTGAGCAAATGCATGATGGCCAGGCTGGTACCAGGTCTAGCCTATGACCTACTCTGATCATAATGATGTGGCCACCTCCTATCATCTAGATACTGGTGACTCACAGTGGCCCCCAGATCAGCCCTCACCTCCAGCCCCTGAGGCTTGAGCTCTTGCTCGCCATTCCTGACCCCATCAGAAGCAGCAGGAGACAAATCCAGAAAAGTACAGCCACCAGTCCAGGGCGGTCCAGCTAAAACAGCTCAAAGTGGGTCCCTTCCAATGGAGAAAGGACAACACGGGGTTAACACGGGAGGCCCTAAGGCGGGGAACATCATATAGAGGGATAGAATGCCACAGGACTAGCTGGTGACTCTGCCCATGGTCACCACTTACAATTTTGTGGCACCTTCTGCAGAGGGTGCCGTTCTGACCAGCTCATAAACACATAATTCCTCAATGCTTACAGGTCCTGGGGGCTGAAACACTGAAGGCATAGAGGCTTGGGGACACACACGAGACACTCAGCAGGAGGCAGGGCCAACCATTCCATCTTTCATTCACGAGGTGTGAGTTGGTACTCACTAGATGCCCCACCTGGCCCCTGGGAGGGCTTCAGAAACGAGTCCATATGTGATCATGGGTCCTAGGAAAAAGGTACCCCAGGCAACCTAGACAGTAGAGCTTTCTTGAAGAAGCTAAAGGTGCCACCCACCCAGGTATCCAGCGGGGCCCTAGACTCCATGTGCATGCCACAACATGCCCGGACACACCCCAACATGACACATCCCAGCCCACCTGAAAGCTGCCTTGCCCAGTTCCATGTTGCTAAGAGAAGTCAGCCAGAGCCTGCTGGCATCCCTGGGGAAGCTGGTTAAAGAGTAACTGTCCATCCACCCACTTGCTGTCTGTGGGTCCCAGGAGGCAGCTGCTGCCACTTGAGTGACCTAAATTGTTCCAGAAGCTTCCTGGCACAGAGGAAGGGTCTCTGACTAAACACTGTCCTGTTTCTTAGTGTCTGCCTCAGACAAACCACTTCCCTTGGGACCCCAGTTTCCCTGCCTGTGAGGACAACACTGCTTCAGAGACTGAATTCTCTTTCTTTTCTTAGTCTTATTTTTCTAGTTAAAATATTTATTACATTTTATTAGTCATGTGCTTGTGTGTGTATGGGTGTACCACAGGTGTGAGGGACAGAGTCGGTTCCCTTTTTCCACCATGTGGATCCTAACTGAACGCAAGTGATCAGGTTTGGCAGCAGGCTCATCACCCATCGACTTATTTTTGCCAACCCAAGCTTAAAACTTTTTCTTTTCCTTTTTTCCCCCCTGGTGCTGGGAATAGAACTTAGGGACTCATACATGCTAGGTAAGTATGTTACTACTGTGTTATACTCTCAGTCTTCTATGCATTTGTGTGTGTGTGTGTGTGTGTGTGTGTGTGTGTGTGTACATGTGTGTGTGTGCAGGTACGTGTGGAGGCCAGAGGTCAATGTCACCTCTCTTCCTCAGTCACTCTCCACTTTACTTTTTGAGGGTCTTTCTGGGAAGCTGGAGCTCACTGATTCAGCTAGAAGGTCAGGAACTCCAGGTATCCTCCTGTCTCCAACCACCACCTCCCAGCCCTGAGATTACTGATGTGTGCCACCACACTTGCCTGTCTCCATGGGTTCTGGGCCCCATGCTTACGTGACAAAAGCTTTACCAACTGAGCTATCTCCTCAGTCCTTCTTTCCCCCTTCCCTTCCTCTCCCCTGTTCCCCTCATCCTGCTACTCCCTCTCTCCCTTCCTTCCTTCCCCAAGGTTTCGCCCTCATCCATGCTAAAAATACCTCTTAGCACTGGAGCTCTATCTCAGCCCCAAATTTGAGTCTTGTTTAGGACGCCACTTGACCAGATGTGACAGTCATGTCCCCAATACACAGACATGTCTCAACAATGACGCAGGAAGGTCCTGGGTGCCTACAGCCACCTGGCCCGGGATGGCTTAGCTCTGAAGCCGGTCTGCCTGCAGAAGTCAGGTCTTATCCAATTCTAAGTCATGAGGACCCTCAGAAGCCTGAGCTGTGAGCTCATTTTATAGACCAAGTAAAATGATACTGGTCAGTCCTGTCACATGGTGGGGTGGACTGCAATGTGCCCCCCTCCCTCCTTAAAAAAACCTCCCTCTTCAGCTTTCAGCCCAGCCAGCTGCCAGCTGCCCAGCCCTTCAGGAAACTCTCGGCACTTCCGGCCAGGACCACCTCCGATAACGCATCCCAGATGCCAAGACCACCAGCATAGTAAGAGGTAAGCCAACAAACGACAAGATTGGGAAGGGCAGGTTTCAGACCCCAGAAGTCGGGGTGGCCTCCATGCACCTCAGTGGGCACCATCTACCTGAGCCTGTGTCCAGATGCTAGACTGTCCAAGGGTGGGCATGTGGACTGTCCAGCCTGCAGCCGGCAATCCAGAGTCCTCCAGCCACACTGGTCCCTCCCATCCCCCACCCCTTTGAAAGCACAAGTTCTTCTCCAGCGCCCAGGGTCACTGACCTAAATGGCTACTGCTAGGAGGCTGGACAACAAACTGTGTTTTGTTTCCAAACAGAGCAGGAAGAGGCCAGCTACCAGCCTCCTACTTTCGCCTCTGAACACCCAGGGGGCCCAGCACCTCCCTGCAGCTCCATTTTGTCATCTAGCAGACAGTTTCATGTACTCCAGAGTCTTCTAGACCTCAACGGTGCAGCCACACTCTGAGACGGCGCACGGTACAGAGACTGAGACAGCACATTCATTTCCAGCTAACTCTCAGGGCCAAGTGTAAACTGCTTCCCGGGGCCCAAAGGTCTCCATGACCAAACAGAAGCACCCTGGCCAGTCACCACAGCCCAGCCTCTGCACCTCAAGTCAAGTTGTTCCTTACCTCTACCTGACACACTGGCCAAGGTTTCCCGAGGATACTCAGATCCCAAGTGGACATGTATATGCCTTTGCTTACCCATTCCCTGACCTCAAGTCCCCCTTGGCATGGGGTACAGGAGGTAGTACTTCTGTCCCTCAGTTGCTGAGGCCTGAGCTAGCCAACAAGGCAGTCCATCAGAACTACCTTAGAATTCCTTTTCATTATTATTACGTGTATACACATGATGTGGAGGGTGATATGTATGTTTCATGTGTAGACACCAGAAGACAGCTCTGTGGAATTGGCTCTCTCCTTCATTTGTATGTGGGTCCTGGGGATCAAACTGGGTTTGTGCAGAAAGTACCTTTACCCATGAGCCACCTCTCTGGTCCTGGAGTTTCTGTGTAACTTTATTTATGTATGCTTTAAAGATTTGTTTATCCATTGTTTTGGGTTTTTTTTTGTTTTGGGTGTTTGTTTGTTTCCCCTGACAGAGTTTCTCTGGGTAGCAGTTCTGGCTGTCCTGGAACTCACTCTGTAGACCAGGCCAGCCTCCAACTCAGAGATCAGACCGCCTCTGCTTCCGGAGTGCTGAGATTAAAGGCGTGCACCACCACCACCTTGGATCCTCTGGAACTGGAGTAATAGACAGTTGTTAGCAGCCATGTGGATTCTGGGAACTGAATCTCTGGTTGAGCAGCCAGTGCTTTTTTAACCGGTGAGCCATCTCTCTGGCTCCTACTTCCTCAATTTTGAGAGAGGATATCACATATCCCAGGATGGTCTAATTCACTTTGTGGCCAAGGATAACCCTGAACTCCTGATCCTGCTACCTCTTCCTACAGGTGCTAGGATTACAGGTGTGAACCATGCCTGGAGTTCTGACTGAGACCACCAAGGAGGGACTCAGCATCCTTGCAGGAAGCCCTTCGTGGCCAGCTTCCCAAAAAGCATCAAGGACCCAGCATGGATGCAGCATCATATTCCAAACTGAGTACTTGCAGTGGCTACATCAGAGCTAAAGTTTGAGACGGGGTCTCAGATAGTCCAGGCTGGGCTCCCTAGGTAGCTGAGCTAGTTAGTAATGATGTCAACTTGACACAGGCGAGGGTCATCTGGGAAGAGGGAACTCAACTGAGAAAACACCTACAGGCAAGCCAGTGGGACATCTTCTTAATTGATGTGGTAGGGCATATCCCCCTGAGGGTTGTGCATCCACACACCCTGAGCAGGAGGTCCTAGGAGCTATAAGAAAACAGGCTGAGCAAGCCATGGGAGCAAGCCAGTTGGCTGCTGTCATTCATGATTTCTGCTTCAGTTCCTGCCTCCAGGTTCCTGCATTGCCTTCCCTCAATGACATGGTGTGAACTGAAAGTATAAGCCAAATAACCCCTGGGTGGTAGAAATAGGAATGGCCCCCATAGGCTCACATATTTGGATGCTTGGCCATTAGAGAGTGGTCACCTGGCAGGGATTAGGAGGTGTGGCCTTGTTGGAGTAGGTATGGCCTTGTTGGACTGTGTGTCACTGGGGATGAGCTTTAAGGTTTCAAATGCTCAAGCCAGATCCAGTGTCTCTCTTCCTGCTGCCTGTGGATCTGGATGGAAATTCTCAGCTCATCTAGTACTATGTGTGCCACCTTGAGGACCTGAGTTCAATCCCCAGAACCCATGTAGGAAACCAGGTGTGGTGGCTGTAACTTGTAACTCCAATGCTCCGGAGGTGGAGACAGGAAGATTTCTGGGGCTTTCTGGTCTGCCAGTCTAGCTTATTTGGTGAGCGCCAAGTCAGGGAGAGACTCTCTCAAAAAACAAGGTGGGGCCCGAGGGCTCAGCGGTTGAAAGCACTTGTTGCTCTTGCAGAGGACCTGCTCAGCGCTCAGCACCCACATGGTGGCTCACAATGGTCTGTAACTCCATTTCCAGAGATCTGCAGCCCTCTTCTGACCTCCACAGGAACCAGGCATGCACATGGTACACAGACACACATGTATTCAAAATACTCATGAACATAACATAAAATTTAAAAGTATTTTTTAAGAAATTCAAAAATAAAAACAAGGTAGTTAGCATCCAAGAATGATGCCCTATACATGCACTCATGCACACACATATAACATACACACATGCATGTCAAGGGCACATGTGGCAACACACATGCACTCACAGTATAACTGGACTTAGAGACAGGGTCATCAGAGATGTGATCAAGTAAACATGGGGTCACTGGGGTAGCCTGACCTGAGGTGTCTATGTCCCCTGGGCTTCGGGGAAACTTGGACAGAGACACACACAGAGGTGGGAGGGTGTGAGGACATGAGGGACCACAGCAGGCTGTACACAAACCAGCAGAGAGATAAGCAAAGCTCCTCTCCATAGCCTCTGAAGAACAGGCCCTGCCCATATGCCCATCTCAAACCTCCAACTTCACTTATCTCTCCAGTTCCCGGGATCAACCCTTGGGCCTCACACACACTGCTGGTCTCTACCGCAAAGCTACAGCCCCCAGCTGTCAGCCTCACAGTCACTGAGACCAAGTCTCCCTGAGTGTGTAGCTCAGGCTGGTTTGGAATTTAGGCACCACCCAAGCTAACCTGGAACTTGAGATCCTCCTGCCTCAGCCTCTTTGGGTTGGGGCCAGAGACACACAACACTATACTTGTTAGATTCCTTTGTTCAAGCCATCTGAAAGAAGACTCTGTCATTCTCTTATTCTTTCTTTAGTTTTCCGTCTGTTCCTTTATTTTGCGTTCGTATGTGTATAGGAGGGACGTTTCTGTGGGGGCATGAATGTGTGAACACATATGGAAGTCAGACATCAGCCTTAGGTGCCATTCCTCAGGAGCCGTCCATCCCATTTTTGAGACCGGATCTCTCACTGGGGCCCGGAATTTGCCAGTTAGAACAGGCTGGCTAACCAGCAAGTTCTGGCCGTCTCCTGTCTCTCCCTCCCCAGCACTGGGATTACAAGTACACACCACTATCCCTGGTCTCTGTACATGGGTGCTGGGGAGTGAACTGTGTCCTCACCTCCCCAGCCCCTATTGCAAATAAATAATGTAAATAAATATTGTAAACAAACTATGGGGTAAACTATGAGATGCACACCCACCAGTGTGTAGATGACCGAATAGCCTGAGGCATGAACAACCAGGCCACCACCCATCAGACACAATGACCCCCCCCATAAACTTTAGCTGTGGAGAAAGCCAGCCTCCAGCCCCCCAGCATCTCCCGGGGGGGCCTTGGGAATAGTCCCCCCCTTTTCTAAATTCCCACATGGCTGACTCTGCATTCTTGTATTTCCTGGAAGAAAACTCTACTATGCAGGGGTAAGCACCAGGCTGAAAGGGGAATTCCCAGCTCAGTGTTATCTCTAGGCAAATCCAGCACATCTGGAGTTAATCCCACTGGCAAGAAGGCAGAGAGAAGAGACAGCTAGAGAGAGGCCTGCAGCTCCAAAATGGAGAGGGGGGTCCAGGGTGAGTGTGGAAACCAAGAGGAGCAAGCGGGATGGCAGGGAGACCAGCTTCCTAGGAGCCTGGGAACCAGGCACAGGGTACAAGGTCTCTAGGAGGTCAGCACCCCGCTGGGTTGTCCCCTGGGAGGGCTGCAGCCCCCTCCCACAGTCCTGGACAGTTTTAGCTGGATGGCAGTGGCAGGGGTCTGGGCAGCCAGCCTCAGGCTGGAGAACAGAGGGCTTCTATGCCTAAGCAGCTTCCTGCTGGCCGAAGCCTGTGTGGGAGGGAAGGAAGCTGGCCTTGCCTCCTGGTCCACTCTCAACTCTAGCCAGGGAAGCTTTGAGATAGGGCACACCCTGGGAAACCCCTGACCTTCAGCGGGAGAGTCTATAGTCTAGACAGAGGCAGAGGCCCCACCCAAGGGACCCCTACAAAGGCTGCCTCAGCCACCTACTGCCTCTAGCAGTGGCCTTGACACTAGCTTCCAGAGCAGTAGGGGCCTTCCTCAAGGTCACCCCACCAATGACCATGAGCTGGAAGTTTCCACAGAACTCTGGCTTTATAGCATGTGTGGCAGTGCATACATAATCCCAGCACTCTTGGCTAAAGCGGGAGACTTGGTCCAAGTTTGAAACAGCCTGGGTTATGCAGTGAGTTCTAGACCACCCTGGACTCTATATCAAGACCCTGTCTCCAAATAAACGACAGAACGCCATCATTGGGGCTAGGGGAGGTGTGGCTCAGTTGGTAGGATACTTGCTTAGGATGCATGAAGCTCTGGGTTCTATAAATGCCCAGCACTATATAAATTGTGCATAGTGGTGCACATCTGTAATTCTACCACTCAGGAGATGGGGGCAGGAGGATCAGGAGTTCAAGGTCATCCTTGGCAACATAGTGTGCTCAAAGCCAGCCTGGACTACATGAGAGCCCTGTTTCAACAAAAGAGAAAGATGCCAGACATGGTAACACACACCTTAATCCCAGCACTTGGGAGGCACAAGCAGGTGGATCTCTGTGAGTTTAAGGCCAGCCTGGTCTACACAGCCTTTGGGGCTATATAATGAGACTGTCTCAAAGAGAGAGAGAAAGAGAGAGAGAGACAGAGAGACAGAGACAGAGAGAGACAGAGAAAGACAGAGAGACAGAGAGACACAGACACACAGACAGGTTGGCAAGACAGCTCTTCGGGTAAAGGCTCTTCCATACATGTCTGACAGCCTGAGTTCAATCTCAGGGTCCCACAGGGCTCTCCTCCAGAGAGGAGCTTCCCTGCAGCAACCTCTCCCACCTCTTGACTCAGATTCATAGGATACTATGCCTCTGGCCCCGTGGCTCCACTTAGCCCTATGGTGGCTCCGGGTGAGGTCCAAAGGGAAGCAGGCCCCATTGCAGCTCCCTCTGTGGGGCAGGGCTGCTGACTAGGGGTGGGCTGGCTGCTGTGCTGGGTGGCTCCCCAGCTCTCTCACCTGGCAGCTGCAATGTTGCTTCATTGCGGAAACGTCCTTGTGGGCAGGCACCCTTAAATTCCGTGGAAAACCCAGGCTCTGAGGCATGAGGCAGGGAGCGGGCCCAGGTGGCCTCACTGGAAAACCTGTTTCCTCAGTCCCGTGGGCCTAGTGGGAGGGTCAGGGACGTCAGGGACACAGCACACGTGAACTCACTGTCTGCAGCCTGGCCCCACCTGGCTGGCCCCATGCCCAGACTTGCTCCCTCACAGCTGTGTTCCACCAAGGGCCACAGGAAGCACACTCAGCAGGCAGGAGGAACCTCTGAGGTCAGACAAAGGAAAGGACTTCCTGGTGGCAAAGCTAGTGACAAGGAGACAGGATGTCCACCTTCCTGCTGCCAGAGGGTCTTCAGGGGAAGGAGAAGTGAACTAGAGTGCTGGGGTGCTGGGACCTCACCCCATCCCTGCCAAGACCTGACCTCAGGGCTCCTCAGAGGACAGCCCCTCTGTACCCGTGGTCCATCATACTTTTCCTCCCCTTCCGGTAGTCACCCAGCTTTGCCGTGAGACATCCTCCGGCCCCACCTCACCCACCACCTGGGCCAGAGCACAGCAGGACACAGGCTGGGAGCTTTTTTTTTTAAATTACGTTTATTTATTTGGAGGAGGAGACACATAAAACAGTGTGCACGTGTGTAGCTAAAATGACAATTTGGAGGAGTCATCTCTCTCCTTCCATCATGTGGGTGAGTCCTGGCAGATCCAAGACAGGTCATCAGCAAGCCCCTTTACCCACTGAGTCATCTCGACAGCCCACACTGCCGGGGGGGGGGGTGTGTTAAGGCTTAGATTTAGATGGCATCCCCTCCTCCTGTACTCAGACACATTTTAGAAGAGTGGTTGACGCTGCGACCCTTCGATACAGTTTCTCATGTTGTGGTGACCCCCAACCATAAAATTATTTTCATTGCTACTTCATAACTGTAATTTTGCTGCTGTTATGAATTGTAATGTAAATATCTGATATGCAGGATATCTGATATGCATGACCTGTGAAAGGCTCGTTTGACCCACAACGGGGTCGAGACCCACAGGTGGAGAACCACTGCTTTGGAGTTGCACCGACCACTGAAATTTCTGCCAAAATCCCCACTCCCTTCCCACCGCTGCTATTACAGATGTCCACACCAAGGAATACGTGTCCTCTGATTCCCAAAGGCCAGCTATCCAGCGTCAAGGTGTAGCAGAGTCATACTCACGGGAAGGGTCCTTCTTATCCCTCCCAGCTTCTGGGAGCTCCAGAGTGTCCCTTAGCTTATGTCTCCATCCCTGAACTCCCTAGTTCTGTCACTTCCAAACTCCAAATCCACAGAGGCTCCTCCCAAGCGTCTACCACATCTACTGAGCTCCAGCGGCATGCCCTTACGTGTGGAGCTCCAGTTACAGGGAGACAGGCCACCTCCAGCTTGCACACAGCATTATCTAAGAGACTCCCCATCATCTTGAGCTCCCAGTCCAGCTGGGACAGACAGCAAGGAAGTCAGCCATGTGCGGGATAACCCACCCAGGATGGAACTCAGCGGGCGCCTCTTCCTCCAGCCTCCTTCCTGCCACAGCCTCTTGGTTCCCTGTCATCACCTTGAACTTCTGTCTCTGAGACCAGGAAGTTGCTCCCTGCACACTGGGGACTGAGGTGATCTTACACAGTATACAGCAGGCACTCAGTAACTGTCAGTTAAGCCAGCAAACATTCGGCACTTGCTGGTGCCGGCATATGTGTGTATATACAAGTACACAGACAAGCACAAGCTTACACCTCTGCATGTGCATCTCTCCTTCTCTGTGGGCACTAGGTGTCGGGCCAGGAGCATGCATATCCCCTGCCTCAGAGCAGATGCAAACCCTGTATCTGCAAAGGCCCTGGCCCTGTCTAGTTACCAACTGAGGCTGTTAGGCCAGCCAAAACCCACACCATCGTCTCCTCCTATGAAAATTTGTCACAGTTCTCATGTAGGCTCCCTGCTCTGGACCATCATCCAGCCTCACACTGCACCATCCGGAGAGACCTGGACCCACCAAGTCCACATCCCTGGTCCAACATCCATCAAAGCTTTCCACTTGCCGTGTAACTGATGGCCCACTGAACTCACAACATCCACCTCCCTGAGAGTGACCCAGGCCCATGCCAAGGGGCCTCTCCAAGCAGCTCGGGGCAGGGGGGGGCGCATATTTCACAACCATAGGGCAGAATATTATTTCTTGCTCAAGATTCCCACTTCCGGGGCAGAGCAAAGCTTGGCACAAGGGATCTGGATGGTATCAGGCCTGGCTCTGCCTGCTGTGCTGTGTGGCCTGAACAAGAGTTTCTTCTTGCTGTTGTTTTTGTTTTTGCTTTTTTCCTTTTCTGAGCCTCACTTTCCCAGCTCTCCACAAATGCTGCCTAGAGCCTCACTCAGCCTCAAGCCCTCCTGAGAAACACTCCCAGACCAGCCACTCTGACTCTAGCTACCATGTCTCAGGACAAAGCTTCTCTCCGAAGAGCATGGGCTACAGGTGATCTTGTCCCATTCCAGGACTCTGGTCACCAGCCTAAGTTAGGTCCCTGTAACAGACAGTCTGTCAAAGCGTTAGCTGAGTGAATTACTGACGGATCAGCTGTGGGGCCAAGGTGCCTCAACAAAACCGAGCCAGCTTGCTTCCCAACTTCCTATGCCAAGACTCTTCTTTGGTAAAAGACTTTAGACTCCATCCCCTGCCCACTCCTGCAACTTCCAGATATGGTGGCACAGTCTCCATTGTCACCCCCACCCCCTATAACCCCAAGGTGCTAAAAGGCTTGGGCTTCCCTCATTGATGGCTTTCCCAAAGATGCCTGGACAAGAAGGGGAAAAGGCAGTATTCCCACTAGAAGCCCCAAGTGACCCTGATTTGGGCTCCAAACCTCTAACAGCACAGGGTCTCAGAAGGCCCCCCAGGAGCTGCTCCTTTGCCCTTTCTCAGGGAGCCAGGAGAAAGCAGACGCTATCCTGAGTCACCACTGACTAAGCCGGCTGGACAGCCCACGTCCTGGCCCCTGGCCCAGCTGCACTTGGTGGCCTGCACAGAGGCCACTTGACTGCAGTAGCCCTGGGGGCCACCGAGTGGGCTATGCCTGCAGTACTCTCTCCTGCCCCGGTGGCCCATCTGAAAGGGGTGTGTCTGCAAACTCTGACCCGGATTCTGGGGCAGGCGTGGCCTCAGTTTCCCGTTTGCAGCGGCACTTCAGAGCCAGACAGAGGGGTCAAACAGCACTCACATAAGGTCAGGCCGGTGTCGGTGCAGGATAGCGCAGAAGGCCAGGCCATCGCGGAAAGAGGTGGTCATGTTGGTGATGCTCACGTCCCGGTAGCCCTCGCACTGCTGCCGGCACCACTCTTGTAGGGCCTTGATGGCCGCCATAGGGGCGGCGGGCCGAGCCGGTGGCTCGTGGAGCTGGCCACAGGCCCCTTTCGGGCCGAGACGGGGACGAGGCCCGGACCCGCCGACCACCACTCGGATTAGAAGAAGAGCGCGCGACCGGTGCCCCACATTGAAGCAGCTTGCGAGGCCTCCGGCCCCGCCTCCTGGAGGCCCCTCCTATTCGGACCGCCCCCTGTAGCCATGCCCCCTGGAAGCCACGCTCACAGGCCCCAAACTCCACACAGGCGTCTCTGTTCTGGTTGCCCCGCCCCAGGTTGCTCAGACCACACCCGCGCCCCGGAAAGCCACGCCCATATAAGACCACGCCCCCTCCCTCCTGGGACTTGGAGAATAGAGGCGGGGTGCTCTGGGCGGCGGCTCCCGCCTTGGCTTTCAGCCATGACTCCCAACTGAGGCGTTGGGGTTTTCTTTTTTGTTTTCCTTGAGACGGGGACCTCGTAGCTCAGGCTGGCCTCTAGTTCATTATATAAGCAAGGCTGGCCTTGCGCTTGCTGCCCCTACCTCCACCTCCTTTAGTACTGGACTTACAGGCATGCACACACCATGCCTGGTTTACACAGCGTTGGGCATGGAACCCAGGGCTTCCTGCATGCCAGGCAAGTGTACCACCAGCTGAGCTACATCCCCGGCCACAGTTTTCTCTCTTTTCTTTTTTATGTGTATGGGCTTTCGCTGGCACGTGTATCTGTACCACTTGTGGGCCTGGTACCTCAAGAGGCCTGAGGAGGGCCCCTGCTCCTCTCGAACTGGAGTTAGAGCCAGTTGAGCTGCCCTGTGGGTGCTGGAAATTAAACCCCAGGTTCTCCGGAAAAGTAGCAAATGCTCTTAACCACTGATTGATCTCTCCAGCCCAAACCCACCACAGTTTTATTTAAAAAGAAAAAAAATTAACATAGAGTCCAAGTTGCCCAGGCTGGTCTTGAACTAACTGTTGAGCTTGCCGTCCTCCTGGCTTAATCTCTGGAGTTGCTGGGATGACAGTCCTGTACTGCCAGGCACCTCCCAGGCCCCCAGTGCAGAAGTAGAAGAAGGGGCCTGTTGACAAATGGGAAAGTAGAGCCTAGGGTAAATGCAACCTCAGAGAAGAATGAGGTGTGTGTTTCAGGGTGTACAAAGCTGCCCGGTGTTTGAGGCTGGGTGGCTTGGTGGGTAGAGTCCTTGCCTATCATATACTGTCCTCGTACTAACCTCAACATTGCGTACATAAACTGTGTCAGGTAGCACTCAGCGGGGAGAGGCCGGAAGATCAGAAATTCAAGCTCATCCTCCGATACATATGGGGTTCAAGGTTGACTTGGGCTACCTGAGACCCTGTCTCAAACATTAAAACGCTGCCTGCCTTCTCTTCACCTTCAGGGTGCCAAGCCAGCCAGAATAACTCTTCTACGTTCACAGGGGAAGAAACCGAGACTGTGGGGGACTCTCCCGAGGCCTCTGTGGAGACATGAGAGTCTTGGCCTCCTGCTTTTTTATTGCATTTGTTTTCTACTTCGAACCTCTGTTGCATGACAGGGGTGATTAAGGGAAGTACCTCTCTCAGATCCTTAATTAACCAGGCAGCTGCCCTCTATGATTTGGGAATCTTGTTTGGTTGTTTGGTTGTTTTTTGTAGCCCTGACTGTCCTGGAACTCACTCTGTAGACCAGGTTGGCCCCGAATTTACATAGATCTGCCTGCATCCAGAGTGCTGGGATTGTAGGCCTGCAACACAACCACCCAGGAATCTGTATGTGGTCAGAAGGACCAGACAATGAGGTGACACCCCCCCCCATCTGAGACCCAGGGCTTGTCTAGGCAGCACCTCTGGAAAGGTAGGGATTTTCCCAAAAGTAGCATCTGGTTTGGAGCCAGGTGGTTTCTCTACACCCTTGACAAGGGGTGAAAACAGGTCATCAGGAAGCACCTGGGTAGAGGCAGCAGGTGTGGGGTCTCTGTGTGGGCAGCGAGGTTCTTGTCCCACAGTGCACAAGCCCTTGGGCTGGGATTATAGTTCCAACCCTTACCCAGTCAAAGCAGCTGATCTGCCTGAGGATTCTCATCAAGGGGACAAAGTGCAGCATCACGCCCATTTAGTTAGAGCCTGGTCCCGGAACCAGGTATTTCCCAGCCCTCGGGGCAGCAGTTACAAGAACCGGAAAAGCTGGTAAGGAAGACAACTGCCAGGAAGAAAGGGTAAGCAAAGACAAGGAGGCCATGCCAGGGTCTGAGTTCTAAACACATCTCAAGGGTCACCATGTGACTAGCCTCTGCACGCTCCCCACCCCCAGCTCCTACTGCCATAGTAACCTGTGGAAAGCACTTGTGATAGTCCCTTGGGGCCACCAAAGATGTCTCTCCAGAGTTCCCAAAGCCAGAACACCCCAGTCTGTCCACTATTGCCAGCCTTCCCACGTCTTGTCCCGACATGACACCAGAACCTCCAGAACCTTTGTCCTCTTTGGAGACCTCCTTGAATGTTCCAGAAGCCCCTCGTGCCAGCTGTTATTAATAAAGTCCAGGAACCTTATCAGCTACTAGAACCTGCCAGTCTTGCTTATTGTGCCTAGGCAGGCCACACCCTGTCTGTTCCCTTTGGGCCTTGGTTCCCCCAGCTAAAGCATTCTCCATGAGCCTACTGCACAGCTCCAGAGGACCACTGAGGTCTCTTGGATGCCCCTCTCTGCTCCTTCATGCGTCCCCTTCAGCCCACACTCTCCTGCTATAGCTGATGCTTGCCCACCCTACTGGAAGCCTCTACCACCAGTGCAAATTCTGGTCCCAGTGGCTGTCTGAGAAAACTTTCTCTTCCCTGTTGCCTCTACCCTGGGGGCTCTAGCCCCAGCTCTCACCAAGACAGCTTTCATATGTGATGGCCATTTTCTGGGGTAACAGACCTACTGGCCTGCCCTGGGAGACCAGGAAGATGGGTATAAAACCCGCTGCCTTCCCAACCACCTTCAGCCTCCGTTTCTCCTACTGCAAAGGAAAGCTTAGTTTTTCCCCCATAATGGAGTATGGACACAGTAGGCACTCAATGAATGCAGGGTCATGTGCTCACAGTAGAGTTTTTCTTGCTCACATTGGTCCCCTGGGTAGTGGTGGGATGTCTGGACCCTGTAGGGCATTTTGCTAACTCCAATCTGAGAGTGACCAACACAGAGGGACCCACAGAGACAAAGACAAAAACAGAGAAAAAGACAAAGAGAAAATATTCAGAGGGACTGAGAGACAGAGACACTAGGAGAGAGAGAGATGGTGACAGAGACTCAGGACAGATAAATACAGCTTACAGAAGGATGTAGAAACTAGAGGAATGAAGCAAGGAACACTGACCAATTCCCAGGAGAAGGTTCATAGAACTTCCATGACTCAGCAGCTAAAGCTTCAAGCATTTGCTGTTTCTGCAGAGGACCCGGGATATGTTTGCAGCATCCACATGGTGATTCACAGCCACCTGTAACTCCAGTTCCAGGAGATTTGACTTTTCAAAAGTATATAAAATAATAGGAGCTTGGCCAGGCAGGGGTGGCGAACACCTTTAATTCCAGCACTCACATGCAGATCTCTGTGAATTCAAGGTCAGGCTGGTCTACGCAGTGAGTTCTAGGACTACTAGGGATATACAGAGAAACCCTGTCTCAAAACAAAATCAAACCAAAAGAAAAGAAAGAAAAGGGGCTGGAGAGATGGCTCAGTGGTTAAGAGCACTGGCTACTCCTCTAGAGGACTTGGATTTCATTTCTAGCACCCATAGGTGGCCCACAATTATCTATAACTCTAGTCCCAGGGGAACTGATGTCCCCTTCTGACATCATTGGGCACTTGTTGTGTGGCAAGACTTGCTGGGGAGACACAACACACACATCTACTCACCTCAGATAGGGAGCCCACAACAGACCAAAGTCTAACTTGGTGAACCAATGAGCCTTATTGGGGTTAGTTATAGGGATGTGAGTGGGTAGTTACAGGAGCAGAAATAACTCAAAGGCAGCTCCATCAGCAAAACACACCTCAGCATGGGGGACGGGTCACCAAAGCTGAGGACCTGAAGCACACTACACAGTCTCCAGGCAGCTCAACAGACTGACTGAAGAGTGTCCTTCCTGGGTGACTCGGTCTACACCTCTTCCAGGCAGCTAGCTGGTCTAGCCTGAGAGTCTTCTTTGCATCTAAACTTGTCTCTGAATGATGGGAGGGAAGGACCTAGTGATTCTGGTCAGTTTCAGGAACTTCCGGAAACTATTTAGCATTGTTCCCCTTCTGTCTTAATGTACTTCCCTGCAGGATGAATGTTTCAGTCTGGGAGGAAACCCCACACAACAACACCACGGAATGCACAAGTCACTCCGGTGAGTCTGTCCTGCTTCACATTGCAGGCTACAGCCAGCTCCCAAGGCCATCGACTCCACTCTTGAATCCCTCCCACCCCAGTCTTGACTGCCTTCCCTCTGTTCCCTTAGTGAATTCACGACCGGTTCTCTTGTTGGTTCTTGTACGCTTGAGTCAAGGTCTTGCTGTGTACCCATGCTAGCCTCGAACTCCTTCCTTCCTGGCGCAGCTTCCTGAGTGCTGGGGTGACAGGTATGTACCCACCACCAGCTTTAGTTGAACATTCTAGTTTTGTTGTTCTTGTTTTTTAAGCCTTATGTTTAAACCTGGGCATAGTGGCACTCACCTTCAATCCCAGCACTTAGGAGGCAGAGGCCCGTGGATCTAGGCCAGCCTGGCCTACAGAGGGAGTTCAAGAACAGTCAGAGCTACATAGTTAGATCCTGTCTTGAAGAAACAAATAAAAATGTGTTTATGTTTATTTGTTTGTTTGTTTTTCCAGACAGGGTTTCTCTGCATACCCTTGACTATCCTGGAACTCTATAGACCAGGCTAGCCTCTGCCTCCTGAGTGCTAGGATTGAAGGCATACACTCCTATCGCCTGGCTATTTATTCTTAAATTATGTACATGTCCACATGTGAGTTAGAGCAGGGCCCACATGCCAGGGCCATTGGAGTCACTGGAGCGGAAGTCATGGACAGTGGCTGTAAGTCACTTGACTCAGTGCTGGGGACCAAACTCCAGTCCTCTGTGAGAGCAGCAAGTGCTCTTAACTACCAAGTGATCTCTCCAGCTCCTAAACTCACATTCTTGCTGATGAATCACAGGCATCTG